TCCATTTTGATATAATGACCTCCATCACATCTCCAATTTCTATTTCCTTTTGAGGTCCTTTTTTAATTCTGAGCAGCTTTTTCAAGCATTTGATAATTATATATCATTGAACTGTGCTGATCTACTGCAAAATTTGTAACACTGATTGCTCAATGCAGGTTGGTCTAATGGTTCAGCAGCAAGTGAATGCAAGATTTGGCAAATGCCTTCTTGAACTTAGTGGGAACAATGCCATTATTGTAATGGATGATGCAGACATTCAGCTAGCTGTCCGTTCAGTGTTGTTTGCTGCTGTTGGAACAGCAGGACAACGCTGCACTACATGTCGTAGGCTGGTAAGATAGGTTTTTCTTATCTGCCCCAATGGCTGGTGTATGAGTAGTCTAAATGCTTTTGTTTTGTTAACACAGCTTCTTCACGAAAGCATATACCGAACATTTCTTGATCAACTTGTTGAGGTTTATAAACAAGTCCGAATTGGGGATCCTTTGGAGAATGGTACGTTACTGGGGCCATTGCACACTCCTGCTTCAAGAGACGCCTTCTTGAAAGGCATCCAAACCATCAGATCTCAGGTGATATTATTGATGCAACAACATTTGCTTGTGCATCAATGTCTGTTTGCATTATATTAAACAATCTTTACATCTTCAATACTTAAAATGCTTAAGTTGGTAGTGTTGATGGCCTTTCTACTCCTCCCTATAATCTAAATAATTCTTAATATGTTAGCAGTCAAAGTTTTCTTAATTTGTTGGCAGTAGTCAAAGTTAAAGATGTTTGATTGCATGCTTTCTACAAAATTGTATTTCTGAATGTATGGAGTTTATTATTCCCTGAATTCTGAATCTTGAATGTACATCTTAAAATGCTGTGCTACTGGAAGTTGTTAGTTCAGTATGTTTAACTAGAATCAATCTCATTACATCACATAGGCACATTGCTGTGAATCTATTAGAGCGAAACCATTTAGCATTTACCTGTGGCCTTGAATTGGTTGGTGATTTTCTGTAAGCAGTAATTTGACTGACATCCTAATTTGCAGGGGGGAAAAATTCTTTATGGAGGATCTGCAATTGAATCTGAGGGAAACTTTGTTCAGCCAACAATTGTGGAAATTTCACCCTCTGCACCGGTTGTGAGAGAAGAACTCTTTGGTCCTGTTCTTTATGTGATGAAAGTTCAGGTATAAAAGATTCAATTACTTTGCTTTTATGTTATTGATCTGTAATGTTTGGTGTCAGTTGTATAGTGTTGGACCAGATCATTATCATTTACACTACTTTTCGTGGTCATTACCTGCAGAATCTGAAGGAAGCAGTTGAAATCAACAATTCTGTTCCTCAAGGATTGAGCAGTTCTATATTTACAAAGAGACCAGATATTATTTTCAAGTGGATTGGGTAAGTGTCAGTTCAACCACCTAGAAAGTAGCCCCCTTGCAGCTAAGCTTGATTGTTATAAATAGAAATCAAGGCTCACTTTGGCACTAATGGATCTCCATCCTCCTGCTCATATGTAGCATTGTGTTTCCTGATGTCCTAAACTTGTTTTGGTGAAGGTATCAGACTTGTTTGCTTTTACTTTAATCTCATTGTTTCCCTGTTTATTGAATCACACTGAAATATTATTCAAGTTTAACAGTTCAAATATACTTAGGCTTTTAGACCCTTTTTCCGTTATGTGCATTATATGCATTATTAGTGTATTAAATTCTTTTTTAAGATGATATTTGATGTCCATATATATTGACACCTAAAAAGAATCATAAAGCGATTTAACACTACTGAATCCCCGCTATGTGTCATGACTAAATCATTGACCATATTCCTGTGTTGTGAAATCCCCCATATAATAAACCCTCTTCCGAGGACAGCTGCATGCCTACACCTTTCTTTTACACGCTCTCAGATTTCTTTTACTGCCATGCCCCATAAGACATGAAATGACTATGGTAGTGATGTTCTTGCTCTTCTTGCTGTACAGGCCTCATGGTAGTGACTGTGGCATTGTTAATGTAAATATTCCCACAAATGGTGCTGAAATTGGTGGAGCTTTTGGTGGAGAAAAAGCTACTGGTGGTGGACGAGAAGCAGGGAGTGATTCGTGGAAGCAGTACATGAGGAGGGCCACTTGGTAAGTAGACAAATTTTGATTCAAGTATGCAAGCTATACCTTGATCAATTGGTAAAATTCCTAGTTCCTTTTGCACTTTTCCCAAGTTGTCGTTTGCAACAGCAGTAACTGAATATTTACTGAAATGTAAACTGTTCACTCCCATTGGTGAGTGGTGACCTTGGCTTGGCATGATGGCTTCCTTAGAGACTCTAGTACACTACAATGATTAGCAAAGAGTAAAGTCCATCACCGGTCCTTAAACTTGTACCGCTGTATCATCCCGGTCCCTAAACTCGCAAATCGACCGTTCAAGTCCTCAAACTTGTTCGACTGTGTCATCCTAGTCTCTAAACTTGTAGATCACTCGTTTAGGTCCTCCAACTTATTCAGTTGTGTCACCCCGGTCCCTAAACAGGACGGTCTAAAAACTTTATATCAAAAAATAATTCATAACTTTTTCATGTGAACTCTGAAGACAAACTTTATATCAAAATTGTAGCTCTCGACGCGACCTACAACTTTGTAGTTGAAAAGTTTTTGAATTAAAACTGTTTAGGGTCCCAAAATATTGTTGCATGTTTATAGATTTTGAAATTTTAATTTTAAAATTACATTTTGGGACAAAAAATGACTTTAAATAAAAAAAATTCAACTACAAAGTTGTAGATCGCGTCGAGGGCTACAAGTTTGATATAAAGTTTGTCTTCATTAGAATTCATATGAAAAAGTTATGAATTATTTTTAAATATAAAGTCTTTAGACCATCCTATTTGACCCAGATGATATTCAAATCCAAGTTTAGGGACCGGGGTGACACAACCGAACAAGTTGGAGGACCTAAATGAGTGATCTGCAAGTTTAGGGACCGGGATGACATAGTCGAACAAGTTTGAGGACCTGAACGGTCAGTTTGCGAGTTTAGGGACCGGGATGACACAACGGTACAAGTTTAGGGACCGGTGATGGACTTTACTCATTAGCAAACAAGGGGAACAAATAATTGTTGATAAATTACTGTAATGAAGTTATCATCTGTTGGAGTCTGTGTAAGCCTGTAAAATTGAAGTCCCTAAGGTGGTGTTTGGCAAGGAGGGACTAAACTTTAGTCCCTCTCACAAAAAATTTAGTCCCTATGGGAGGGACTTTTGCTTTTGTGAGAGGGACTAAAGTTTAGTTAGGGACTAATTTTTTTGTGAGAGGGACTAAAGTTTAGTTAGGGACTAAGGTGGTGTTTGGATCCAGGGACTTAACTTTAGTCTCTATATTTAGACACTAATTTAGAGTATTAAATATAGACTACTTACAAAATTAATTATATAAATGAAAGCAAATTTGCGAGACAAAATTTTTAAGCCTAATTAATCTATAATTAGAGAATGTTTACTGTAGCATCACATAGGCTAATCATAGATTAATTAGGCTCAATAGATTCGTCTCGCGAATTAGTCCAAGATTATGGATGGGTTTTATTAATAGTCTACGTTTAATATTTATAATTAGTGCAAACATTCGATGTGATAGTGACTTAAAAGTTTTAGTCCCATCTAAACAGGGTCTAATTTTTTTGTGAGAGGGACTAAAGTTTAGTCCCTCTTTCCCAAACACCACCTAACTCTGTATCAAACTGCACGGAGAATAATTTACATAACCGGGATCCAGCCACCACAGTACCTTCTTTTTTCACTGTGATTTTGAGTTTTGAAGTTTCTGGCTATTCTCTCATTGATGTTACGATGTACATAAAACTAATCTACATAAGGATGCTGTAACATTTCGGTTGTGTAGACACCATTACGCCATAGAAATGTTGTCAGAATATCATCTCTGCCACCGCCCACCGGGCTATTCCATGTCATCCATTGTGATCATTCTGACCTGGGATAGCACTTTTACCCAAAAGGCCTTGGGAGTACCATCATACAAATAGAAGCTTAGAATGCCATGAAGCAATAAATTCAAATAGAACTACACATATATATTACTCTATTATTAGCACTGAGAAAACCATTTGATTTGCTCTGCCATATTTTTCAATGGGTATTTGCGACGTCCCAAAACTCTGTGAAGCATAGGGATCACAATATCTTATGTATAGATGTTCCCAATGAAAGGCTTATCCTATGTACATTGAATTCTAGTTCCTTGAGATGTGAACCATGCCATGAAGATAATTACTGCAAGAGTAGCTTCTGTTGCAAGATATTCAGGGCAATAATTCTAGTGTGTGTTCACCATGCTCGAAATACTTTGCATAGATAATTCTTTATGTTATAGTTATGCATTTCCTGCACACTAATTCTCAATCCAAATTTCTGCAGTACGATCAACTATGGAAGCGAGCTGCCTCTAGCACAAGGAATAAATTTTGGCTAGTTCGGTGGTCAAGATCGGCTGATGAACATGTTAAGCTTCATCGACAGACTTCAGGAATTTCTACTGGCGTCAACTGAAAACCGAAACTTCAACGCAGCAGCATTGCTATGTGTGCATATAATAAGAGATGAGTCCAATATTAATGCATGTACTGCTCTTGCTATGATTAGCCGTCGGAGTTCGAGTCCAATAAACAGGGAAAAATTGCGTATTCCCTGATCGGTTGATATGTACCAACATTTCTGATGTAATCTTTAGAACGGTATCGGTTGAAAACTTGAAATGAACGAAAACGCGGTAAGAATACAAAATGGTGTGCAAACCTTCAGGCTAAATTTCACCGTCCCTAATAAGGCAAGTGGCTCTCAGAATTCATACTGAAAACAGATCAGTACACCAATGTCCACTTCCCTTTGAAGACAAACAGATTAGTACACCAATGATTCATGAACTGATGAACAGTCGAAAACAGATCTGCAGCCTTGTCTAAACTACTGTCCATCACTGGGTATTGCGGCTGAACTGCCCAACATGATCTTTTTCATTGATCTATAAATATATCATTATCTCCTACAATTTTATTCGGCGTGCATACATGGTAGTACATCACTATCAACCTGTAAACAACAAACAAATTTGACTAAATAACACCGAGTATGGTGCAGTTTATGCCCTAATCACAAGCTCATATACATTGCTATTGTTCTCTCTGCTGAGGCGTTTTAGCCCCTCAAAACTTCTTCGGCTTCCCAAAAAATCAATTCTTTTGAATGTTACAAAACCTCTTTCTGCTGATTCAGTACTTGCGTACAGCGAGCGAAGTCGATCAGCATGTCGTGAATCCGTTTGCAGGGCTACATTTATCTCATCGGAAGACATATTTTCCTTCACAAACGAGAAAGATAATTATGGGTTAGCTTACAAGCTAAACACAAAATCTAAGCCACTGTAAAAATTGGTCAAGAGTTCTGTCAGAAAGAGGCAGTATTGCACTCAATTCAACAAACTTAATAACAAGATACTGATTGTACCTGGTAGAAGTTGTAGATGTGATCAAGCACTTGTATGCGTGTGAAACCACCATTGCTGAAGAATGTCCTTGAGGAAGGTCCAAGCTCACCAAAACGATCAATGGGGAAGAGTACGGTAAGGAAGTGGTTCTTAAAGATCACTTCACTCTTCTCACTAAAGGAACAACACAAGCATATCAGAACAACAGTTAAAAAGAATTTGACCAAGATCAAGCATTGATTACCTTTCTCTTAGTGGGCGGGTGAAACTATCGCTTGACTGATCATCCTTGCCATCCCCATTCGCATCGAAGAAAGTAGTGCTTTGTTGCTCAAAGGCATCGTCTGACCATGAAAACTCCGTATAAATGCATGCGGACGTAGTTGGCTCAGATACGGTCCAACAGATTGATTCCATAAGTTTCACAGGCGTGATTGGATGGATTGGTACTTCACATGACTGGCTTAAAACCATAATTTAGACATTTTATCAAAAACTTTATATAATATAGAAGAACCAAATAATTCTACAAAAGTACTAGGTTTTTATACATTATATGTACACAATTGTGTAATAAGGGACTACAGATAATGAAATGTGTCCTGATTGTGTTCTAGTTCCTGGTTCATAGTTTCATACACATGCCAAGATGAATTTCATGGCATTGTATTACAGAAACAAGTCCAAAAACACAAGGCAGATGCGCTGGTACGGAATTATGTCCCATTAATCCAAGGAACCTTTTTCGTTTGGAAAAATAAATGTTGCAGTGATGCTGGAAATATAAACGCAACTAGGAACCTGCAGGTTCTCAAATCTAGAAATGAAGAGGAAAAAAAAACTGCTCTGGTAGGTAAAACAACCCTTACCTGCATACGGCGAGCACGGCGATCTCGGACATTTTTCTTTGCTACTTCAACAAATTTTTGCCTCTCTTGATGAATTTCATCTATCTCCCCTTGGGTTGATGGTACTCCACTGGAGTTTGAATTGACAGAAGGAACATCCCCAATTTTTCTATTCTAAAACAGTAGACAATACAAGGTCAACACAATACCACATTTGTAATCATCCAAGAATGAATTAAAGAGTCAAATGTGGAAAAATGAACATATCACAAACATAAATTGACATTTGTACAGTTGTAAGGAATCTAAACATAAATAATAAGAACTGTACAGTTGTACTATTCAAGAAACGGTAAAAATTGACAGAACCATTATTTCCCATCTACGTGGACCAGTCTTCTCTGCTCTTCACTAAATACATTACAGGAGGGTAGCTGCCCATCTCTATCTGTTCTTTATTTCAGGAACGTTTTATGAAGATAGAGGATTGCTCATGTAATATGTCAGGTAACATTTACTGTCTTTTCGTTTCCTTCCAGAGAAAAAAAGAGCGGGGAAGTACCCAAGAAAAAGATATCTACAGGAGAATTCCTAGTTCTAGGAGCTTGTGAGGTCTGAGAAAATCCATATTTTCCAAATCTCTTGAAAGGCAATTTTTTTTAGGAATACAAAATGTATACTGGATGAGAGGATAATTGATTAAGGTACATGTATAGCATGTCATACCTCTTGAAATGTCTGGGCATTTTCAAGAATCGTGGCAACCTGCCTAGCCAGGTCCGAAGACAAATGGACAAGACGCTGCAAACCTTTTTCCTTTGCGGTTTTCAATATCCAAAGTGGCTGACAAATTAAATGCAGAAAATGTTAATACAAGCAAAATCTGCCAAACTTCATTAGAAGTTTAGAACCAAAGGCAACATGCTTACAGTTACAATGTTGTCTGAATGACCAACATATCTCTTGACAGAAGCGTCCTCACACACAACATATGTCGCATGACAGCCAATAAACCAGTGGTCCAACAATTTTGCACCTTCTCTAGTAGCAGCATCAGATACCTGTAGACAAGATGCATTTTATGTAAACGTAGCCATGCAGTTCACCAAGAGATGTCTTGTTGTATTGATGGGCAAAGGGGAAGGTATGGAAAATAAAAATTATCCTTGTCAACTAAAGAAATTCAGAGGGAAACAATCGCATCAAACGATCTAACTTGCATTGCTCTTAACACGATGCTTAGCAAAACTTTGATCCACATGATGCTCTGCTACAACGTTCCATCGTGAGAAATGTCCTGAAGTCCTATTTTGCTGTCCGAAAGCTATACTTGGAAGGCCAACCATAATAAAATCCAGCAGCAAGAGCGGGGCATACCTTCTTCCTCATTTCACCAGATATCCCAGGGTCAATGTAGATCGAGTCGTTTGTAAAGAGAAATTCATCATGGTCATGTTCTTTTCTAGATGTCTGAAGCCGATGCTTTTCGGTCGTGTCTGAAAATGTTTTTTCCTGAAACATCATCGGTGGAAGGCAAGAATTCCCACTAACAGGAGCGCCGACAAGCCGGTTGAACTCCCCGAGTGGCATTCCATTCTCCCCAATGTTCTTGATGCTATATAACGATTCATCCAACCTCACTGCGATAGAAACAACCGTAACATGAACACGATGCCGCCACAATTCACTGGAAACAGAAGAGGATGGCACTCGTCTTACTGCTCCTCCGCACGCAATCCACAAGCCAACCAAGTGTTACAACAAAGAGGCCATTCTTCGCGCCATGCTTGACCGCGTGCTCAAACTTGCGGCCGGCGAAGCTGTGCTGCGCGCTAAGGAAAAGCATATGCCGTCCTGAATTTGACAAACAAAAACAGCAGGAGACCCAAGAGAAGAGATAACAAGCTACCATAATCCATGATCTTTGCAAGGATATCTGAACCACTAGGTGGGTGCACTTGGGATGCAGGCTCCCGCTGTACTCGCCTCCCATCCTCTCAGTCGCCTCCTTCACCTGAGTCCTCGCCTCTGCACACAACACAAATCCCCAACCACCAAGAACACACACAAAAAAAAAGAAGCGCACCTCATCAATACTACAGCAGAGATTTCACCATTTTGGGCCAAAAAAAAATCAAGAAGCAAAAAAGCAACGCACCTTTGGATAGCCCGGTGACGCAGATGACCAATCCGGCGAAGGGGCCATCGGGCAGCGGCCTCCGGTCGCCGCCGCCGCCATGTCCGCCGCGCGAGAAGGAGGAGGAGGAAGCGGCGGAGGCGGAGGAAGGCTGCATCCCGGGGAGGACGAGCCTGGAGCAACCCCTGCTCACGACCACCTCCACCCCGCTACGCGACATGGCGCCCCGTCTGCGGCGGCAGGCAGGGGCATGTGAGCGATGCGAAGCGAGCGAAAAAGAAAAGAAGAGGAAGGCGAGGCGGTTTCGTGAGGAGGGGAGAAAGGGGAGGAGGGGGTCGTCGGATCCGGTGGTGCTTTCGAGGGAGACGAGAGGAGAGGAGGAGTTAATGATGGCGACGCGGTGGGCTTCCCTTCTCGTTCTTCTTCGTCTCCGCTAGGTTGGGGGGGTCCTCGATTAGGGGATCCATGGCGGCGACATGGCAGATTTGGCAACGACGACGAGGTGACCGTTGGGAACTTCGGATAGCCTGATTTTTCTTAGTATTCTTTTTTTTTAATTTCTTTTTCTCTCTAATTTAATGGTGGTCAGTATTAGTGGGGGACCTAATGAACTAATGGCAGCCAGTAGAGATGATATTAGTGTTAATCTGAGCATTAGGTGGACAGTTGGCTGGTTGTATAATTGTATAGTTATTTTTTCTTTACCATGATGCAATTAATTGTAGTTGCTCACAATATCTTTACACTTATCAATTAGTTCGAGCATCATTATCTAGAACTCCGAGTGATTTATTTTTGTAGAGAAAATCTAACCAGCTGGGTTATGTTTATTTCACGACTTGTAGGTTGTATCTATACGTTTTCAACGTTTGTGATGGAGATAGTGAGCTGGTACGTGGTTGTCTACTGTATTTTGCTGTCTTTCCTTTTTGTTGTTGGGCTGATGAGTGGTGTACTTGTACTTTCTTTCTTGCTCATTGCTCGTATTGAATACGAGAAGTTGACAGTGGTGTTATACTATTAAGAACTTCTCAAAAAGTCAATTAACATACTAGTACGTGTTAGACAATACGCAACTGCAAAGAAATATCTGAAATGGAAAAAAATCGTGTGTACTTAAAAAAGTACATTTCATAAAAATGTGTGCCCTCAAAAGCACAGAGATATTTGTTGTACATTGTAAATAAGTTATTTTATCCTTTTTAAAGCTCATTTCTTTTCCTTTTACATTATGAACTATCACAGACATGCTATCCAGGTTATTAAAAGGTGTAATTTTACGAAAACTTTCTATATATAGGTTTCATGTAATTGTTTTTTAAAAACGTTTTTTCAAATTATAATAGTTAATTAATTCATTTGTGCCCTCAAATATTACCATAAAATCAGATAATCTAGCATCATTCAGATTAATCAAACTGGGACTAAGTATGGGTATGATCGTGTTCTTTTTTCCTATGTGCTATGCAACTATAAATCTTCTACAAATTCATTTGAAGTGCACAATTGTACAAACCCAAATATGTGCATGCACCTCCCATACATATAAAACCTTCCAATTGACCATTTTTATATAAACATTCATATAATACACACCCACTTGACAATTCTCACATCCACAGGCCCCCTTTCATGCCTCACCTTGCCAAAAACCACCTTAAATCTACACCAATTGTTTTTTTTTCACTTCTTATACAGAGTAGAAAGAGAGTAACGTATTACACAACACCATAGCTTCTTAATATTAGGTGAGCTATTTATTATTTTCATTTCTATTTTATGGAACTTTTGTGACGGTGGACAAATTATAAAACACCACGTGGTTCAATCAGTTGTACGGAGAATTTTAGACCACCACTTATTTTCCTTTTTTTCTCTGATTATTATTAATTGTAGCAATATTTAGGTTTCACTACTAAACCAAATCTTCATGACATAGGCATGTATTTTAGATGCACGGACTCGAGTTATGGGGCTTGTTTGGAATGAATGAGATGTCATATATTAGCATATCTCGCATGAATATTGTAAAACACGAGAATTTGAAAGATTAATTGTTTAGATACCTCAGAAAAAAATAACACATGAACTTGGATGGATTTTAGAGAGAGAGAGAGAGAGAGAGAGAAACCAAGATGTATTAGGCTTCTCAAAGGAAAATTAAAATGAGGTATAAGTATGCAATCCAAGAATCTAGCAACTTTCAATCCAACATCCCAAACAACCTAGTTAGAAAAACTACTACGAAAATACTCCAATTGAAAGGAGCCCTGACATATGATTCTGAAACACAATGCAAGAATAGAATGTTCATGTGTTTCAGAATCCTATATGATTCTAAAGCACATAAATATTAGAGTTGGTTCATTTGGATGGTTTGCAAGAAATAAATACAACAATTTTGAACAACTTGCTTGTGCTAAAAAGAGAAATTAGAGAAATAAATGGAGAGAGTGCATTAGAATTATCTCTACTACTATAAAAGTACAATCATCTTTATCCCCCCCCACTCCCCCTCGCACGTAGCACACGCTAAAAAAAAGGAAAACATTTGTTGCACGCTAAAAAAATCGTTAGAGAAAAGAAATGGTTGCTACACGCTAAATGAATAGAAAAAAAGAGGAAAAGTGATTGGATAAAAAAAGCTCACTGCTTTATGCTAGATTGTCTTAGCCCATTGCAATGCATAGGTATGTTACTAGTCAAAGGGAAAAAAACAAACATAAGGTTTGAGCTCATGTTAATTTTCCTATAGAATTGGGGTTTGTTCCAAAGGATCTCATAAGAAATGTTTCTTGGATCTAAAGGAGACGTGTCAAGGAGGTATATGCCTCCCGGGATAGAAGAAAACAAACCACTTGCTTTTAGTACAGTTTCACAGCAAAGATGCAGCTAAGGTCACATGCCCTGTTGAGTGCACCATGACCACCGAAGCATCCACCAATCTGCACTTCTGCAGTGCAGAAAGTGCCATTCACCTTGCCTTTGGAGAAAGACTGCCACTGAACGACACCCTCGACCACTGCTCGTGGTTGACCGTAAAGTGGCACCAACAGCAGCTGGATCACAAGCCATCTGAACAGCTGGGGCACCTTCCATGGTTTCTATCCAAGAGATTATAAATGCGAGGAGCTGGACATCTCTTGATGGGCCTGTTTCTTGGCTTCCGATGCCATCCGAAAGGTGCAAACGAACAAACGAGCGTGAATTATTGGTGGTTTGATGTTGTTTTCTCGCATAAATGGCCTGGCTGATACGAATCTCTGTTCTTCTTCTTCTTCAGTTCAGACTTCAGAAAATGGCACTGTCATGTGATTAATTGGGCATCAACTTCTGATGGAAAATAAAACTATATGACAGGTTACATGTGTACGAAGAAACAAAAATTGCACAAGTCCATTAGGGCCTGTTCGATTAATCCAAATATTCTGATACTCTGAGAAATCTAGTTAGTTCTATAAATTGCTAATCCTTTCAAGGGTTTGCACATTTGCAGCTTCAGACATATGGTCCAAACTAACTATTATATTAAATATATATATAATTTTCGTAATGGAACCCCAGTTCCAAATGGTGAACAGTCAAGTCATCTTTTGGTTCTCCCAATTTTCATGTTTGATTAGGCACATGAAAACAAATGCGTGCTCACCATGTCTGAACTCTGAACAGGATGTACATAGAGTATACATCCTAGTACATGATTGTTCATCCGATAACCTCGTGGCACTACATGATCAGAGCAGAATCTTCATCACGAGCAAAGGGAAATTTTGTTCCGAGTGAGCACTGAGCAGAGCAGCGTCTATTCTTTCTATGAGTTAAAAAAAAGTTACTAGTAACAGCCATGAGCATGAGCTCCCTTTACCTCTGTGGGCTGATGGTTTCTTGAATCTTGAAGCCTTTCGGTGGCTGCACTGAGCCGCCACTTGACTAATGGTCAGCAGCACACAGTGATACAGTAGCTCAGGCGAGTGCCGATCTGTGATCTCTTTGGTGATGAACTGATGAGAAATGCTTGCCCGCTAAAGCTGCATCATAATTTTGTTGACTCTAAACTCCCCCGGGCCCCAGCCAGAGAGGCACTTTGCATGCATCAACTGAGTAACTGCGCAAGCTAATGGAGGGTGTTGCAGGGTCGCTTGGTCCAGAGTTTGCGCCCCTAAAAACTACGGCGGTTTGGGTGTACCGAATCTGGAGCTTATGGGTATAGCTCTTCGTTCCAGGTGGACATGGTTGCAATGGACCTCCTCAAGCAAACCTTGGCAGGGGCTAGCCATTCCGGGGTCGCAAAAGGAAAGGAACTTCGTTGCAGCCTCTACCGTCTATCAATTAAGAGACGGACAAACTATCCTCTTCTGGGAAGATAGCTGGTTGCAAGAGGGTTGCATTCGGTCCTTTGCTCCGAACATCTATGATAAAATTCCACCATGCGTGCGCCGGCGTCGGACGGTGGCTGAGGCACTAACAGGTCGCCAATGGATCAAAGACATCCGAGGAGCACTTGGGATCCAACCTATTCTAGAATATCTAAAGCTTTGGTCGCTTGTCCAAATGGTGGATCTTGATCCTACTACTCCTGATTCAATCATCTGGAAATGGGAGAGTTCGGGCCAATACAGCTCAAAATCTGCCTATAAGGCCTTGTTTTTGGGTCGTGTCACCTTCCTTTCCACCCCAATTTGGAAGTCACTCGCTCCGCCTCGATGCCGCTTCTTCTTGTGGTTGGTCACAATGAATAGATGCTGGACCGTTGACCGTCTGCGCAGTCGAGGGTTGCCACACCCGGATCGCTGTGTTCTTTGCGATCAGCAGGAGGAAAGCATTGATCACATCTTGGTAGCATGCCCTGAATCGAGACAATTATGGTGGTGGACGCTTCAGGCGATAAGGAGTCTGAACTGATTACCTGTCAACGAGTCATCCTTCCACAATTGGCTCTGTGAGAGCCGAATGAAGATTGGGGAGCGGCATCGTCGAGGCTTCGACACTGTCATGATACTGGTGGCTTGGACAATTTGGAAGAAACGGAACAACCGAATCTTCAATCAACAACAAAGGTCTTGGACCGAAGTGGTGAAAGCAATGGCGGAGGAGGCCATGCTTTGAAAGTCGGCTAATCACGGGATCCCCGCTGTTTGGCCTTTATGAGGTCGTGGTAGCCAAATTTAGCGCGAGATATTCCTATAGTTTTCCATAGCGTCCTGTATTGGTCCCTTACTTGTTTTCCTTTTATCCTTGTAAATAACTTTTATTTCTCTTAATAGAAAAAAATGCGCTCCTTGCGTATTCCCGAAAACTGTGCATGGCATGCGATGTGAGCTCCAGATTTAGAATATGTGTTGTCCATGGAAGCACCTTCTGATCATGTCAAAAGAAACATCTATGATGTAAATAACTAGGTAAGACGATATTTATTCAGTCTGCAACTCTGCATATCTGAACTGAAGTACTGAAACTGAACAGTGCCTGGTGATCCAGATATCCAGTGATATGAACTAAATAAACAACCATGGTGCCATTCCTGTGCTCCACTGGAAGTAAGCCGAGTTGAAACACTTCATCAACTAGTGTT